CTCTGTGTGTATGCGAGCACACACTTGAATACACTATTATTAGCATTTATATCTGTGTGTGTGTGTATGTGTGTGTGCACGTGTGTGTGTGTGTGTGTGTGTGTGTGTGTGTGTGTGTAAATGTAAAAGACACTAAGAAAATGAGCAATGGGAAGTCCTAAATTTTGATTGGTTGATAACTGTCTTATCTGAATAAAACAAAACAAAACAAAACAAAAAAACCCTTTTCTACAGCATTCTGCAGTCGAACCATCCAGGCTGTCTAAAAAATGTTTTTCAAATATTTTCAAATCAGCTCCTCTTCCTCTTGCTTTAGACCAGAGGACATTGCAGAGAAATTAGGCAACTTGCACAGGGTCACACAGCTAATAGTTAAGCTAGGCCTGTGCTGCCCCTGGCCTCGTCTCCTCCATATTCTTCAAGTGTCAGCCCCCCAACCTGGGCTCCGTATGCTATGAACCAGGACTTCCCAGCGGTTAAAACAAATGTGTTCCTGTTAGAGTTCTGGGTTTTTTTTAATTTTTCTTTATTAATTACAAAGAGCATCAGACCCCCTGCAACTGGAATAGCAGATGGTTGTGAGCCCCCAGGTGAGTGCCAGGAATTGAACCCAGGTCCTCTGGAAGAGCAGTCAGTGCTCTTAACTGCTGAGCCATCTCTTTAGCACCCTGTTAGAGTTCTTAATTGTCCTACATGACATTAGCTACCCTCTCCTTCCTTTTCAAGTTCATGACCACATTTGAATGTTGAAACAATGATGCTAATAATTACCGGACATTAAATAAGGTCTTGTCACTGTCTCAGGAACTTTAACTATATCATGACATTTCTCGAAATAAAATATAGGATCCAGGTTCAATTCCCAGCACCCACATGACAGCTCAAAACTGTCTGTGACTCCAGTTCCAGGGGACCTGACACCCTCACACAGACATACATGTGGACAAAACGCCAATGGACATGAAATAAAAATAAATTATTTTTAAAATTGACAGCTGAGGTTGACCTTTGACCTCTTGTCTCTGTACATATACATATACATATACATATACATACACATAATTATAATTAACTAGTCAATTAATGAAAATAAATAAATCATTCCAAAACCTTAGCTAAATATAGCTTATGTGTATGCACACACACATACACCACACACACACACACACACACACACACACACACACACACACACGCGAGTACACAAGTTCCCATGATTCTGAGGGTTGACAGGAATAGGCATGCTCTGGGTCATCTCAGCCAAAGGTAAGTACTGGAGGGTGAACACCCTGGCAACTCAAATGATAGGCAAACTTGTCAGTCTATCAGGCTCATTCACACTCGTGCTATCAGATGAGTGACAACCTCATGTTTCTTACCATTCATCAGGACACCTGGATTCATTCTAGGACAATGGTAAGGTTCCCAGTAGTGTCAGAGCAAGCTTCAAAGCAAATCACACTTAAATTATCTTTCTCTGTGGTACCATCTAGAGTCTCATTAGTCAAAACTAGCAGAGTAGGCAAGCTGGGTTTCAATGTGCGGAGAAAAACTTCTTGTTGATAGCAAGAATGGGAAAAACACATTTTAAAGATGCATGTATCAAGAAGCCCATGAAGTTTTTGTGGCTATTTTTACAATTTTTGTGGCAGCTTGCCTAGTCTAGTCCTGAAAAGAATAGAAACTGAAAGGGATGTGGTAATTACTAGAGTTATTTAAGAAGCAGCATCCAGGAGGAGTCATTTCAGTGATAAGAACAATTGATCTACAAGACACCAAGCCAAAACTTGAGACCGTTTCTGTGGGAGACACTGAGTGTTATTTTATCGTTTGTTACCCTGTATAACTGGTCCATCTCCGCCTACACCCACTCACATCCTCATTGCCAGTGCATCCCTGTGGTTCCTTTGGCACTTTTTCTGTAGCCTGTAGTAGGACGTGATTATATTGTGGAAGGTTTTTTCCTCCCATCCTTAAGCTCCTAGAATAAAGACTTAGTAGACTCATTAACTATTAGGTAAATACCTAGGCCATAAAGCTAGGCTCTTCTCTGACTAACTCATAACTTAAATAATCTACTAATTATATACTAATCTACATTATACTAATCTACATTCTGGTATGTGGCTGGTTACCTGAGCTCAGGTACCTTTTTGCATCTTGCTCTCTGAATCTTGTACACCTGACTATCCCTGAATCCCTTCTGCCTGGCAGAAGTCCCCGCTATTTCCTGCTGAAGCTCCAGGCCATAGGTTTTTAATTGACAGGTGTTGCATCCATACAGCACATAAGAGATTCCTTCTACAATAGCCTTCTTGTTTTCTCATTTGTTTCTGCTGCAATTAAGTACACAGACCACAAGGTAGGAAGAGGAACAGTGACTTCAATGCACCAATGGAATTTAGGACAAAATCCAAAACTCTTCCTTGTGACTGACAAAGATTGCCATAACATTAGCACTATTTACTTTTCATTTCAACCTACACAACACTTTCCTTTCTCCAGAACAAATGTCAATTTTCTTCCAACCCTTCTGTATTCCCTAGATTGCACTAGTTAATCTGGGTTTTGTTGTTGTTGTTGTTTAAATTTGAACATACTTTCAGTATTTTGAAAAATTGTGTAGAAGCTGCTTCAATATGAGATTTACTGAAGTAAAATTTACATAGTGTATAATTCACTGATTAGCGTCTAGCTATATGCCTCACCAAACATGCAGATCTGTGATCATTATCATAATTAAGATCTAAACAGTTTAAGGACATCAATAAAGCCTCTCATTTAAAAAAAAATGAAAAACCCACATTTTTCATCTGATAACTGGGTAAACTGTTATTGTAAATCCATACTATACACTAATACTCAACACTAACACTATGGATCTGAAAGGCATTATACTAAATGAAGAAAGTTAGACTTAGGAAATTATATGTCATATGATTCTGTCAATAGAGAACCTAGAAATGAGATGACTACCAATATATTAAATAAACAGTTTGTCTGCAGAGTTGGGCAGGGTCTGATCATGAAGGTGCATGAGAAAATTCACCTATTTTTCTTCATAGTTTTTATTATTATCTATTGTAACGTGGATAATTTGTTTGCTTATTAACTTTTACCTTACTTAAAAGGTACATTTCCAGAGAACAGGAATCTTACCTGCCTTATTCATGTCTGTATTTCCGAAAACTAGTCTGATGCCAGTTACCTGAAGGGTGTTCAACCATCGCATACTGAGTAAATTCATGGCTATGTAAACACTCCCCCACATCAGCCTTCGATCATGCCCTGTGAACACCACCTCCTACACATTGACCCTGGCCAGTCCTCCCTCTAATTTCATAAACACACCATTCTCTTGTCATCTTTTCCCTTGATAACTGTAAACATCCTCCAGGGTAGTTTTCTTGCCTACAGTCTTGCCTTTCAATTGTCTTTAACTACTATTAGAGACAACTGGGTCACATCGTTCCTTGTTTTAAAGGAAAAGGCAGCGGCTCCTCCTTCCCCACCAGCCGGCCTCACTATGGGTCTTCCCTCTTTCAAGTGCCCAGGTCAGCTCCCTATCCTGATACAGCATTCAGAACCAAGATGTTGTCATTTGTCCTACAAGCTACGTGGAACCAAGTAAGAGTCTCAGCTCTAGGGCATCCTGATAACTAGCTGTCCTCCCAACCATTGGTGCCACTTCGTCACAGCTTACCTGGAGACTTCAGGCCACCAAGCTTAAATGAATATTAAAGCAGTGAGAGCTACATAATTTTAAGTGTGGCATTTTTCAAACAGTTTCAGCTATAACCTTGGCTCCGAAGATCCTCGTACTGAATTATGAAATCCTACGTTGTTTTTTCAGATACATACAGTGGCCAGTTTTGGTCTTCCTTTGTATTTTGAAAAGAAGATGCCATCGTTTACTTTTTATGAATTATGTCAATTGCCTGAAACTAAGGGACTAAATGTTTAGTGGGGTCCCTGTACAGTACTAGCAGGAGTGGGGTAGGTCAAAGTCCAACTTAATACGTGCCTATCTCAGGAATGGCAACCATTTCTTTGTTTCAATTGTATGAGCACCCCCCCATGACTACCTTGTTATGACTAACTGTTGTGATTACCTTGTTCTGACCACCTGTTATGTTCCGTTCCTGGAACCCTTGTTACTTTTTCTTAGATAACAAATTGGTCATGTAATTCATCTCCCTTTCAAGTCAGCAAAATGTCCCTCAAAATGGAATTTATCAATAATTCCAACTTGCCATAACAGTCTGTAGTGAAAGAACATGGAAGATAAGAACAGACCTACAAAACATGTTGACCTCATTAATAAACAAAAACAAAAACAAAAAACAAAAAAAACCCATTTTCTTGTAAAAGCTTACTTCGTGTCAACTTAGTTTGGAAAACCTTCCCTACCCTCATTTTTCTTTCTCTTTACCTCTCTCCACACATGCATTTGGTACAATTTAGGTTCAGTTTCCACAGTGACCTAAATAACATGCTTCATTTCCCCAGGTTCTTGCCACCCTGATTTGCATCTAAAAGTTGCCAGATATAATGTAGAGACACAAATACAGGAAGAAAAAAGGTTTTGCCTTTGATTCATTTCGGTTTTTGAGACAGGTCTCACTATCTAGCCATCGGTAGACTAGAACTCAATATATAGAGCAGAATGGCCTCAAACTCACCGAGATTGGCCTCAAGGTTTTACAAGTGCCATCATGCACTCTAAGACCCATACATGCTTCTGGCTACAATTTGCTACCCTTTCTGAAAGTGAAAGCAACAGTTAAATAAAACCAGGAATGTCAGTGGGACTAAACCTAATACTGTCCGTGAGCCATGGATCCAACCAAGCCTGGAGTCAATATCCCTCTGGATTTGCAAACTTCATAAACCAATAAAGTGCCTCTTTCATTGCCAAGATGAAAAACCTTATGATTTTTGCCTATATGTTCTATAGTTTCTTTGGAAACCATGAGCTTTATTAGGCTTGTTTAATTTACCTGGAAATGGCAGCAAATATAATTTATCCATATTTTGGAATATAGAAAAATTCTTCATATGATTAACATATCTGGAGCAAGGCGAAACTGCTTTTTCAAAATGAGGGCTAGGCTGTGAGGTAAAAGAGAAAAATAAAACTGTGTTAGCTCTGTGTCTCCAAAAATAAGGCATGCCCCCTACAATTCTAACTTCACTAAATGAGTAACTTTGTAATGGCTTCTTTGTCTCTTTATTCTTTAAAAGTTACAATCCTGTAACTCTACCACAATTCACAGACCCAAGAGGGCCCATGGGAGGAGGCTTGCATTTCATTCAGGAGGAGAAACAGAATAGTAAGCAGAAGTGGTTGAAGAGAAGGCACAGGAAAAGAGAGGGAACCCTGAAGGAAATAGGGGTGGGGATCAGATATGGGGAGAGTGGGGGCAGGAGGACAGAGGGCTTGCAGAGAGCAGAGAAACCACGGGCAGGGCATCTCTTAGACAAGCTGGAGGCCTGCAACGGGGTGGGCTCCTGGAAAGACATGAGGGTGACTCTAGCTGAGACCCCTGGTGGTAGGGTCATGGAGACTGGAGAGGCCACCCTCTAGCCAGACAGGACTCCCTGTAAAGGGAGGAGAAAACAAAAACTTCCACCCAGAATTAACCCTGCCTACATGATGTGCAGGGATAAAGACAGAGCAGAGATTGAGGGAATGTGAAACCAATGCCTAGGCCAACCTGAGACCCACCACGTGGGAGAGAGCCAGGCTCTGACACTATCGATGATGCTCTACTATACTTGCCCAGCATAGCATTCCTCTGAGAGGCTCTACCCAGCAACAGATAGAAACAGAAGCTGAGACTCACAGCCAAATAATGGGCAGAGCATAGGGAGCGTTATAGAAGAGTGGGGACAAGGATAAAAGGATCTGGAGGGGACAGGAGCGCCACACAACACACACATATACACATGCACATACACACACATACACACATATGCAAACACATACACACACACATATACACACATATACATACGTACAGACACATACGCACGCATCCTCCTTATATGTTTTATTGAAGGAGTTAATGAACATTTTCTGTAGCAGCAACAGAAATCAAACTAGACTTTCCCAATTTCATTCCTCCATTCCTCTCTGCATGAACGAGGATGGGTTGTCCTATCTGTTCCCTGGTTTCTGTTTTTCTGGGGCTACCGTCACAGCAATCATTATCCTCACTTTAAAGTGGAAAACTAAACAATTTTCCAAGGCTGCAGATGCGACTGTTTTAAGGAACTCCCAAATCTATTCTTTCCAAACCTACATTCCTTTGTGTTTGTTTGTCTGTTTTTTGTTTTTCGATTTGTTTTTCAAGACAGGGCTTTTCTGTGCAGCCTGTTCTGCAACTTGCTCTGTAGGCCAGGCTGGCCTTGAACTCTGTCTTCACAATGCTGGGGTTAAAGGTATGTGCCATCACCACCTGGCTCCAAAACCTACATTCTCCACTGCCCATCATATTACTTTCTCTTTTTATCACTGTCATATTCAGCAATTCAAACACAAATCCGGGAAGGTCACCCTGACCTATTTCTCTTTTGCTCTTCTGCTCTGCTCAGCTCTGACTCTCACCTCTCAAGACCCTCAGACCCCTCCCTCCTCCACAGTCCTTTAATACCCATTAGCTTAGCTACTTATAGCCTTGTTCGAAGTTTGCCTTTATAGAATTCTCCTTTTTATATCCTTTTTCTAAAAGAAAAAAACATAAATAACGTATGCTTATCCTGAGATATAATGTCTGTGGCAGAGTCCAGGAATATACACTGACTTTAAAAACAAAGTCTACCCAGAGAAATCTACAGATAACAAATAACGTATTAGGACATGCTCGGCAGCGCCACCAAGAAGCCAGGTACATGAGGAGGCCCTGTCACTCCGCCTAGATCTACTCAATCAGGGTCTGAATCACTACACTCACGTGAACAATGCAGAGCACTTTTTATGTAAAGAGTTCAATGCTTTCTCTAGAGGAAGCTGGTGAGGCCCCAGACTGCTGCCTCTTCCTCTTCAGACTGTGGAAGTTGAGGCATCAAAAGCTAACGCAGTCCACACCCCTCATCTCAGTCACCCAGTGCTTTGGCATAGTTCCTGCTACATGACACAGGAGGCTTTATTAGTCTATGTTGGATTGAACTGATTTGAATTAATTGATTGATATTTCAAAGCATACATTGAAATACCTTGTTATATTCAAATTGTATGTTTTGTGGAGCTAGGATTGGACTGAAATGATGAAGAATGAATGGAGATGAGGCTGACAGTGTCATGAGAAAAATGAATGCTGGCCCCTTAAAGAAGGATCATCTCTCCAACTGGGAAGGGACTCCTCTCTATGAAGACCTGTTTCGATCACTCGAGCCAGGGCCTGGAGTCGGCACGCGCTCTATATTTGAAAGCAGAAACCCCCACTTCTTCTTTTTTTTTTTTTAAGAAAGAGCAAACTTTCACCACAAAGATACAAGAACAGTCAATATTGATCTTCTTGACAAATGGCGCACCTCATGCCACAGGCGGCTCAAGCGTCTGTTCAGAATAGCAGCCCTCTCCTTTGTCAGGAAATAAAGCCAAGTGGCCTCACACACTATCAGCTGCAGCTCACAAATATTGAAAAGAAATAAATTTCTCTGGATGAAAAGCACCTTTCTTTGTTTCCCAACCCTCTCTCCTCCCAAGTCATGTTGATTTTGGGGCTGCTCAGAGTCCCAACACCTGTACTTTTCAATTGTTTGTTTGCCAAGCCCATTGTGGCTTTCTTGCTCGGCTTGAGGATCCATTCTAAGTACAGTAACCAATAAAACGTATTTTCTTTCTCTCCTGGCATTATGTAAGAGAAGCAGGCACCTTCGGCCACCTACAGCAACTATAATTAGAAGACACAGGAGGACAAAATAGGAAATCGGAGCTCCTGCACCCAGAGTTCCCCCTTAGGATCATGGGAAATGCATTTTCCCTGCAGAGCAAAAGCAAAAGTGGGGATTTCTGCAAAAGCCTTATTATTTGGCAGAAAGGTGATGTTTTTAAACTTGTGTTGCAGAAATTTGCAATTATTCTTTAATTGAGAATAGATAAACAATAATGACATAAATAATAATTTTACAGTATGTGTGCTACAAGCTGAATTACCACAGGGACCAAGAACCCAGTATGGGAAGGGGGTGGAGGGTGGAGGGAATCTCCAGAGAAAAGGGCAGTAGGATGTATAATGTTATGGAGCGATAAAGAGGAAACTGGAATAGGAAGGGAAAATGAGGGGGAGGAAGAGAGAGCTGGGTGAAGGAGGAAACAAGAAATACAACTAACACTAAAAGCCTTCTGAAAAAGTATATGGAAGCCTACTACTGTAGAAGTTTCATGTATATGTATGTGTATATACCATATAACATACTACACATGTGTGTAATTATATATTATGTATACATATATACAATATAATATCTGAAATTTAAATGAAGCCACCATACAATGAGCGAGAGAATGCCCCAACCAGACGTCTTATGCCAACAGTAAAACCCCAGTGCCAGAAATGGTTTGCATCTTGTTGAGTTGTTGGTCAAAGGGATCTGTTCCTCACCCCACCCACTCCAGGCGTCATAAGCTGTTGCCCGGATTATTGGTCGTTATCCACAGCCTGACGGGAACTCCCTGTCACTGAAAACACTTACACCATGAACACAGAGAGCTGAGTTCATGTTCCTGCAGAAGCCTCACTCCCTGTCCACTGTCTAGTGTTCCTGGTGTTGGGAGTTCCTCTGCGCACTGACTGAGGCCAAAGGGAACTGAAATCCAATCCAGGGACCTAAAACAGTAACCTGCCTGCAAGTCTATGCCCACCACAGAGAAGAGCTTCTGTCATTTTTATGCACTTTCATTTTACTTTCACAAGTTTGGAAGTCCAGACTACAATTTTTGATCTTGCTGGTTTGAGTAAAATGAGCACTTACATTTGAGTACATCCTCCCGAATGGAGGAGTTCATCCTCCTGGATAGATTGTAGTTCGGGACCAATGACAAAGTGTAAAGTTTTGTCAGATCTTGTGTGGAGGTTTCACAGCTGCTGCAACAAGACTTTCTATCACTCTTCAGCTTAGACAGACTGGGCTGGATGGACACATTCACATACTTGTTCTTCCTGGGGCCTGGTAGGCCATGTGTGTGAGGTGATAGTTCAAAAGGCAAACTATGTTCGTGGAGGTTCACTTTATCTAGGTAGAACTGAATGGTTCTGATAAGGGTTCTTATAAAATAGCTAAGGCTGGCACTTACTCCGCCTTGGTATGAATTTTCTAAATAATCTACTTCTTCCCCCATTTAAAGAGACAACGCTTGCTACCAACCAATACACCTACAATCAAGAGGCATGCTTTGCTTTCAAAATATGGAGTAAGCCCTGGAGTAAAAGGCTAAACCTACACTCGTCAGTGCGTGCCTATTGCAGTGGCTCTCGGCTTCTCAAAACATCCCAAAGTTAGAAGAAACTTCAGGAGGTTGAGAGACTTTTGGTGGTTAAGCACTGAATGCTTTTCCGGCAGACTCTGATTCAATCCCCAGCACCCATGTGGCAGCTCACAAGCCTTTGTCACTCTGGTTTCAAGGGATCAAATGCCTTATGATCTGCAAGGGAACCAGGTATGCAGGCAGAGTCCAGGAGACATCCATGCAAGTAACACCCACACACGTGAGATAGAAGTAAATTTTAAAAGTTCAACTGTAAGAGTAATCAACTGTAGGTGTATTAAAATTTATATTTCAAACCTCAGAAACCTAGCCCAGTGGCATCAGAATCTATAACCCATACACTAAACACAGCCTCACGAGAAGAAAGTCCTTCTGAAAATAAAAAATTATCAGAAAGTATTTACAATGCTGAAAATAAAGTTGCTAAAAGCAAAGGATTTTAATCATGTCCTCGTAAGTAGATTTATAGAAAACAAGCTCCCCAAAAATCTTTACAATCAATTAAGACACACATTAATGAAACATTATTCATCATATTGTGCAAAATTGATGACAAAATATCTTTTTTAATTTTCTAAGTTCTGATTTATACTCCTATTTGCTATTATTTGTAGTACAT